TATTGTTAAAATAAGAGCAAAAAGTAATAGCCTGAAGACATTTTGTGAACTTGTATGTTTTTTTTTTTTTAGTTGAATTCCACTAGGGTTTGAAAATTCAATTTACTCAACATCCATTTAGTTTAACTCATTAATCTCGTAACTATTTACTAATTTATTTAATTAAATAAAAATATAAATTAACATACATTTCACACATAAAAATCATACATTTATGTTTTACTGAAAATGGTACAAAGTAATGTCGTTTGCCTAACTGACCAAAAATATTAATGATATAATCGAACAATTAAAAATGAAATTCTATTTTATATTATAATTGTCGTAAAAAAAAATATTAATATTTGAAGACCGAGTTTTGTAGTCATTATTTAATAGCTATAAAACAGTAGCTAACAAGATTGCTAGTAAATTACCTACACAACGAAGAAATTTTATGGCCGTTGTTATACTGCCAACAATTACTCAAATAAAATAATATGAAAAAAATATAATAATTATGCAATAAATTCTTTTTTAAATAACTAACATAATAATTTTCATGACAATTAATTTTTGATGAATATGAATAAAATTTGAGTTTGATTCATTTTTAGTTCTTAAGTATTACAAAAATAATAATAATTATCATTTAATTAATTTAAAAAATATATCAATCTAATACTACATTAAAAAAATCGCTATCAAAAATGAAAACTCAACTTATAATAGAAATTTTATGTTCTATAAATTATTTCCTAAAGATAAAAACGTATTAAAGTAAAATTGTTTTAGCAAATAATTAAATAATGAAAAACTAATATATTAATATTTCAGTCTTTTTTTTTTTTTTTTTGTAGAATTAAATATAATGCAATAGCAAAACTCAAAGAATTTTTAGATAAAAAGTTAATTTCAATTTTGTGGCAACAATAGATGTTATTTTATTATGATCAAGAAATGTTAGATATTGTTCATTATTCCTCACGAACCATTAAAATTTTATTTCGGATGGAATTTTGAACAACTCTGTTTTTCTTTTACAATTTAACATGAACTATATTGTGTTCTTTAGACTTATATAACCTAATACTTTAAGTTTTTCATGATAATATATTTAATTGCATAATTAATCAATCAATGTCTTAAAAATAATTTAAAAAAACACATGTATGTGTTTTAAATAACACTTGTACCTTTTTTGACAAAACGATTTAGAATGAAAATGCAATAGGAAAAGTAGTTTTTTTTGTTTATGATATTTATAAATATAAAATAATTTTCTTGTAATTCGTTATACTAGATCATTTACTGAAAAATTAAATCTAATAATTATCCAGGTGCGTTAAGACATCAGATCGATTACCCGTTATAAATATTATTTTACTTAAATTTTTTATTTTAATTAGTCAGCAAATCTATTAAAATTCATTAATACATCCAAAAGTACTTAAGGAAGTATGAGGTGACTTCTTTATATTTAAAAAGGTCATATGTAATACATTTTTCGATCGTAATCTAAGTTTAGCCAAGGTATGTTAACTTGGGGCAAAGACAAATTTTACTTTTTTTCTATTTAATAAATAATTTTTTAAATAATTAAAATTAATTAATTATCTATTAATGATTGATTTCAATATATCAAATAGTAATTCTACTTAATTTAAAGATTTTATGGTGAATACTTATTCGAGATATTCAATTAAAGCTTGAAGGTGTCTATTGCCTCGTCCTCCGCCATATGATATGCCTATAGGCATATTATTTAGTAGATAAGATCATAACTCGATAATAAAGTTAAACAAACTCATTCATAAATTAATCAAGTTTTGGCTATCAATAAGTTTTTATTACACCACGCCAGATATTCCAACAAGTAAATAGTATGCAGCTGAGACAGACGTTTACCTGAAGGCTTATAAAAATTAATACTGTGTCCAAATTGAGTATACTGAAATGTATTAATACTCAATTATTATTAAGTATTATATCCAAATGCTCTTCATGTTATTGGTATAAGTGCCAAAGATCATTTCAAAAAATTAAAATAAAAAAAGACAGTCATTATTTGTCGGTGTTTACGATAGAACGCTATGATTTTTAGAAAAAAGATAAATTTATTTATGTTATAAAAACATTAAAACGTCATGATTTCACCAAATTATTTAGTGAAGCTGCTAACATGAACAAGATTAGTTAAATCGTCACACGCAAGACTTTTAAAAAAAATTAAAACAATTTCTTACAAAAAGGGATCAAATATTAATGATTTTTTTCCCCACTTGAACTTCTGCCAAACGATTTATTTTATTGTAGAGCTGCATGGCACTTCTGCGCTTTGAATTTTATTCTATTCCGTTATTAGTTATTACCATCTAACTGCCACAGATATGTTCGACTACTATATAAAATTATATTTATGTAATAATAAATAACAACGTTAATATGAATAGACAATACAGTTTGCGACATTTCGTCATAGAGATTTAATTTTTGATACGCAGAAAAATAACTTTACAATTATGGTAAATTCGCCCACCACATTGTAACGGTGTCTGGTACTAGCAATGTCACGTTATAGCAATAATATGTATGTGATCAATGACACTCAAACGCAATTCTATTGTCCGTCGTTTTATTATTGCAACAAATCTAAAAATACCAGTGATTCTTTCGAGTATATGTTGCACATCAAAAACTGTAGGCAGTTTAATTGAAATACACAAAAAAAAAATTAATCGCTCACATAATAACAAAACAATATAAATTCATTATAATAGAATTTATATTTGATACTTTTTTTTTTATTATTATTATGTAATAAATGGGATATTTTACAATGTAATTAAGAATCTATAAGAAATAAAAATTTAATTGCTCTATGCAACACATGGCTTGCACATTTATAAAATTAGCAAAAAACTTCCGACAGAGATGCTAAGAGTGTGTAAAAAATAAAAATAACACATCTATGACGCAAACTTAACATTTCTAGTGTAATGCATAAAGCAATCTAGTTATAGTGGATATTATCCTTCGTCGTAAATCTATTCTCGAATAAACGTTACTATGTAGTGCAGGCACATTTGTTATTAGAACCAACCACAAAAAAATTCAGTAAAAATAATACCAAATCAAGCAAACAAGGACTAATGAGGCTAAAATAAATCCTAATAATATTGTTTATAAAAGGAAATGTTAAATAATTAGCATTCTTACCGATAAAAACCGTTAATCTAAGTTCTTAAAACGAAAATTTAGTCATTCGTGAATAAAAAATAATAATTATCAGTATAACAAAACCTGTTTGGTGACACGCATTATAAACGACTGGTAAACATTTAAATGATCATGAATCTTTTATACGTATACACTAACAGATGTTTTCATAGTAATAATTTAACTCTATCACACACACACACCTGATAAGCAACAATTAATTACTTATTAATTAATAAGTAATACAATGGTATTACTCATATTTGACTTTTATTAACGAGACAATAAGATACACAGAAAAAGAAGTTTATAATTCAGTATCAGTATTGTGACCATCAAAATAAATATTTAAGGTTAACCCTACTGACATGTATCAACCACATGAGCCACCACATAAAACAAAGTATACATACGCTTTTCGGACCCCTTGTTTGCTCTTTGGAAATAGCTCCGGTTTGCTGAACATCTACAAATACCATGTTCGGGGATTAAATCGATTCAGGTCAAGGTCGAATGCCATTTAGGGAGGGTCGTCCGGAGGTGTATGCATAAAATTACCGGTAATTTATTATTATTTACTGTAATAGTAAATACTGAGGATTTGTACTGGTATTTTACAAAATGCAGTAACAACAGTGCGTAGGAAATTTCTAGTCGAAAAAATAATAGAAAATAAATAATACAGATATGTTCAGAGTCAAATAATTTCGACCTTAACCTCGACTATTAAGTTTATTATGCCAAAATCTTTGTCTACTAGAACTCTATGAGTTCAATCACTGAAGCGTTTGCCAAAAAGTCGGCAAAAGAAAAACTCTAGTTCCTTTTTTTTTTATCACAAAATAATTTCATTAAAAAAATCTGCCGACCAAATAAAACCGATTGTATAATGCTCAAACATTTATATGAACCCATGAACAATGTTCTAATCTTTTACGGTGATTTTATAATTGAATTTTATATTTGAGTATACATTGTATAGAATTCTAGCACAAATACAATAGAGTATAAACCATAAAATGTGTCACAACTACAATATTTTTAATTCGACGAAGTCGGGTTTAGTTAAGTAAAATCACACAATAGTCAATTATATTTCACGACTGAACTGTCACGATTATTGTGAATAAAAGTAAAAAATAATAATAATAATAACAATGAAACTTTTAACGATACACGAATAAAATATTTTAGTGTTTATGTCGAATGAGTCAATAAGTGATAATGAAGTACAATTTTATAAAACAGACAAGTATTTAAAAATAAAAATTGATGCACATCATTCGGTCGTAATCACTATTTATTAATTTTACAATATTATTTATATTCTCTTTTCGTGGTAAAAATACTTTGCATAATGTTTTTTTTTTTTTTTTAATATACTAAAAATAATAAAATCTACACTGTGTTACTTCACTGGATATCATTTCTAAATTACTAACGGTGAAATTTTATTACAATAAACAAACTTTTGTTTAATACTGGTATTGAATAAATATCTAATTACAACTGAAATAAATAATTCAAGAAAATTCAAAGATTCTTACAAGGTTGAAATATTTATCTCGCACATTCTCTTAATGTTGACGAAAGCCAATATTAAGATAAGTGAAGGATGGCCATGCAGAAGAATTAATATAATATATAAATTATACTAATAATGGCAACAATCATATAATTTTTAAAACATCGAGTCACTGTAAACGAGTTTCACCGTACGACTTAATGATATTAATTTAACAGGAAATAATGACGTCCACTGCAGAGTGCAAACGGATTTCAATAATTATTGCATTTTTTACCTTGTGAGGATAACACTGAGGATGCCAATTTGACGTTTGCGGGTATCCGTGTACGATGGCCGAGGGAGAAGGGTAAGTGCCGCACTGATACATTTGACTGTTACCCCAAACCAGGCGTGGGAACCCCAACTGGTCAAGTACTCCTATTTTTGAAATTCATATCACCACAGACACACGCGGTCGAACAGAGAAGACTCAAGATTGTTGATAAAAATCAAAGAAAAAACGCACAGTTTTCAACGGGCGCGCGCAACTAACACCACACGTATTAGCTGTTGTGGTCAATAACACGGCCGGCACCAACTCGCGGACAAGACTACCGCAAAGAAATCACACACGGTGACAAAAAAGATTTACAATTTAATATTAGGTATAGACGAGGCAGAGAGAGAAGTAAAATAGAGTGAAAAAAATCAATCACGTTCCAAGCTCCGCCTATTTGTCAGTACATCGGCCAATCCTATCCCACGTGTGATAAACGACCGCGGCAGTTACCTACATAATAATAACGTTGTGTATGTTATTGTTATGACAAGCCGTTGTACGATCATGATTTTTTACGGGCAATACTAAAATATTTGAAAAATTATAACAATTCTATAATTAAAGACGTGGCAGACACAATGTTTCTCATCCAAAAATTTCATCAATCGTATACTTTCAGGAAGTTAATTCATAAAACGTTATAAAAACTAAAAAAAATGTGTATTCATAAAACGATTAATTGAACGTGTAATATATTCAACACCTATATTCATTAAAGAAAAATATTGAGTGTTTTACGTTAGTCTCCTATAAATAACAGTGTAAACGATATGATTCTCCGAACAGGTAATTTATTTAAATTTACTTAAATCGAGATTCAAATTGTTAATAAAATATCAAAAACAGTAATTATGGTATAATATTGAATAATGTATTATACTACCATGTATTTAGTATCCGAGAATTATTAACACCAGGTAATGGCATTAGACAAGTAAATTATTTATTTTTTTTTTTTTTTCAAATGAGTCAATTTTACATTTTTGATTTTCTAAAAAAAGCCAAGACGAAATGCAAAAACAACATTTTTTAATTAAATGTGCGCGTATCAACACTCATCTGGTAATTAGAAGTGATTTAAAGATGACATTTTTAAAATGTCACGTTAACAGCAACAACGTGCAGCATTAGAGGAATGTGTTTCAATTAAATGTAATAAATATTGGAAAACGACGAGCTAAAAAAATTCAATAGATAATAAAATATAGTACTTTTCTGATGCTTTTTAACATAACTATTTATAATTACGAACTTTCAACAATTTACAATTACAGGGCATTAATTGTTTTAATCGAAACTGCTAACTCATTTTAGAAGTGTTTTTATTTTCTCCAAAAAAATATAATAAAATCACATACTAAACTTGTTCTGAACTGTGTCCAAAGTGCCTTAAGCCACCAGCTGATTTAGCGGACGGTTGCCAATCCGATGTAAAACAACGTGTGTTATCAATAGTCAATTATGTTATTCAATTAAAAATAAATCGAAACAAATGATATTGCAACACTCAAAAACGGCACGTTTTTTACCAATAGCTGATGTTATTAAATGTAATATTACAATGTATTTTCTAAGGGTTATTCGACTAATAAATTGACAAATGAATAACTTCACTATTAATTAAAATATAAACATGGTTCAAATATTGTTCGTGTTATCAGTATAGGACATGGTTTCATTTCTAAGTCATTTTAAGTGAAATGAAAAAATTCCACAGTTTTTAATAAAATGTTGTGTTACTCCAGCCGTTTTAATAGTCAAAATGACATTAATTGTAAGCCAAGTCTATACAAGCACTTATTCAGAACATAAAGAGTTCGCTGTGCGTTTTAGACAACTCTCTGAGCGATGATTATTTTATTTATAAATTATTTTTAATCCACCAAACTGAAATATAGAACGGACGTGCACTAAAGTGCTTAATCTTGCTCAGAGTTGATTTAAAAACATTGTATATTATTTTTGGAGGAACGCGCCAGTTACTATCGTATATCATATCCTGTTATGCCGTACAGTATATTCATTGTGCGGAACACAGTCTTAGTTTAGATTTGTCTGTGATTTTAGTCGAGATAATCCAAAAACGGGTAAGTCGAAACAATTGCAATTTTGAACATCGAAATCGACGAATAACGTTTTTAGTAATATAATGTTGTCATCATAACAATTGATTTCTAGCCAATTGATATTTTATACGAGTGTCGACAATATATATATATTAAAATACATTAAATACAAAGCATACAGTTTGGATTAAATTCAACACCTGAATTAGCTCATTACACGATATCGATTTACATAAATTAACGTGTTTCAATTCAAAGTTTTGGAATGTTCACATTATGAAAAAAAGTGCGCAAGAATCGTTTCCGGACTGTTAGGTGGTACGGTTGGTCCTTTTGAAATGCCGAACGGACGTGCGCGACAAAATGCTCCGCCAGCGACTTCCCCTTATTATAATATTTTTATGTCACGTCACTCCCTTCAAGGTCGATCAGTCCGAAATTGTACTCAAGTAACCGATTTGAAACGGTCGAGAATATTTTTAGATTAATGAAACTTGCTAAATTTGGATATTTAGCGTCGGTTAGATTGGTCTGGATAAACGGCACGTATGTTTTCTAAAAAAAATTCTTCGTAAAATTACGCGATCAAAACAACCAAATGGACGTCTATAAAATAGTGAAAAAGACAAATGTGCAAACAGATCGATAGTCGTACTGATAATTACAATGAAATGGATACAATCGAATTCAATAGTACTGATTAATAGAGTGAAAACAGTAAATGAATTTATGCTAAGACTAAAAAGATAACGGTCATAAACAACTCGTCAAGCAAATATTCACAAATTCGAATCGTAATAGAATTATTTTACTCGTACTGCGATCAGTCACTAGGCCTATGAGATCGGACGAGGATGTATCACACACGGAAATAAATTTAGCCCCGTCTTATCACATTTCAAATAATAATTATACGCAGTCGTCCGATCTAATAGCGTTTTTCAGACGACATAAACATGTGGAACGTTAGCAATTACTCAAACGTCTATCCGGAGCCTATTTAAGAATTAACACAAATATTTTGAAAGCATTACCGTAAAACAATGTATGCGTTCGATTATTACAAACACACACGTGAGTACGGAACACTCATTATTAATAGAACTCGGAGTCTTCGATATTCTATAGTGTACACGAACCACACGGTTATTACAACAGTAATACACCAAGTGTCCCTAGCTCCAAGTTCAGATTCCGCACGATCAAAGTTCTATATTTAAGCCTGTACCGTTGTAAGCGTACACGGTGCTGAGAACGAAAAAACCGAAATAGAGGAAATACTCTTCCTCGCACACCCAAAGAAAAACCTCAAACAATTTTGATAGAGAAATTTTATCAAGGGTTTATGATAATGTTTTATTAATACGAACAAAATAATTATTCTTATAAATAATTATTGTTCAAGACAAGAAAAAAAATGATCATATTGATAAATATATCATAGATTCAATAGTAATGATATATTTATCAAATTGAACAATGAATTTATTATATAGATCGAGGTTTTTCTCTGGGTGCAGAAGATCGCATAAAAATAACGTCGTGTCGGTTTTTAGAGATTTGACGGACCAATTTATTCGTTACCGGCAGTGTTCAAAGCAAGCAAAACGAGTGTCAAGATAAGTAAACATTTTGTGTTACAAAAGTTTAACTTTCCCGCTAAAATCTACTGAATAGTTTAAAATTAGGATCGATAGTTTAAACATCAAACGATTTTTGTGCTGACAAATAAAAGGGCTGACACAACAGATGTTTGTTTACATTCGACTGATGTGTACAGTTATAATGTGTTGAGCGTCTCAAGCATCGCAATCATAGTATAATTAATCCATAAAAAAAAAAAAAAATACAAAGCACAAGCTGAGTTACAAAAGACCGTAACTCTCTTATACGTTTTTTTATGTTATCCATCGGTAAATTAATTTTAACACGACTAAATTACGATTACGATTTAATTCAAATTCGTTAAGGCGGGAAAAATTATTTAGAGATTTTCCGGGTAACATTTTTAGTGATAAAGTGTACAGCAATTGTATTTCTAAGTTTATAACTTGATAGTGTATTGCGAAAATTGAGCTCGGGACGACAGCCAACATTTACACCTGCCCCAATGTCATCACGCAATTAATGCGCTAGACCGTTTAAAAATAATTTTTTTCAAGCCGGTAAAAATGATGTATTGTACGCTCTCCTTCGGTACAATTGTTTCAATCGCACCGCGTGTCCTATAACCACTACGTGGACATGACTAAACTAATTAAAAACTAAGTTTTAACAAAGGGATAATTCGCACCTGACTTGAAGAAGGCGCCTGCAAATAGTTGGACACATCCGGTTCTATCATATAGTTACGCAGCGAGTCCGGAATGAACATTTTAACTTTTGGCAACAATAATTTAATATCCCACGGTGGGCGTCGGCCGCGTACAAGGCACCGCCGATTGATGTTAGTTCAATCAATTGCTGCGAAATGTAGTTTTCAACGAGCACCGTTCACCGGCCAGTTCACGGTGAGCCGACCGTATGACAGCACTGGCGTCGGCGTCATGAAAGACAAAAGCACGTTGTTCGCACGGCGACGAAGATTTCCGCTATCGAATTCGGCAGCCGTGTAACGCGAACACTGTGCGGGCGTACTCGCTGGACGCGCAAAGCGGTTTGTCAGAGCAGTGGTGCGCCTAGGCGGCGGCAATGAACCACGCGGTTACCCGATGGGCGGTCCTAACCCGGGGAGGAGCGAACGCCGTTCGGCAGCGCTTGCGCCAGCCCCCCGACTCTACGTCTACCGCCACCCCCCTTTGGGGAACTCTTACAGCACGTGCGCCTCGTCGATCACCAACTCCCACCCCGGCCGTCACCGGTACCCCCGTTGTATCTGCGCGGGTGTCCCCTCGGCCGACGTTTAAACGCAACACCGTACATCGCAGTTTTAAGCGTTAATTTATAGCGGCTATCAAAACTATTGAAACTCACCATAATTGCGGCGTTTTTTTTTCTAGTTTTGCTGGATATCGCTTAATTCTACGTTTACCAAACGGCCCATTGTGTTTCCACGTTTGTCACTGCTAACAGCACTGTAGCGGTTGTAGACGTCGAAAAAAAATTACAATAAAACTATCTGGTTAAATGAAAACTGCGGGCCGTAAACGACGAGGGACACGCGCGACCGGTGCGAGTTGTATGTCGTTGCGCGCGCGCGCTCGCGAGTGTTTGCCGGCAGACTGAGGCCGATCGTGTTTGTGTGTCTCGGCGTTCCTCCTCTCACTCCTTCTCGCTCTTCAGAGGACACAAACACACAGCATCCAGCGGTGGCTTATCCCCGGGCCGGGGCAGTTAACACGATTACACATGTGTGTGTGTGTGTGTGTGTGTGTGTGTACGTATATAACTTGTGTGTAAGACGGACGGCGGATGGCTGTACGGCAAAAATAAACTCTCCTTCCCACCGGGCGACCGAATCTATTTATAAATCATGTACACACATATACGCACATGCGGCATCAGGAACACTTCAACAGCTACCGCAGTTTTTTGTAAGCGCAGTGCAACGAACTCTGTTTTGGTTTGTCCTTTTCTCCCAAAAGTTATCATCGAAACACATTCTTTAGAGGGAAACACGAGGGGTCCAAAAACGGAGAAGGTATGCTGTCCATGATTTTAGATGATATTTTTTTCCTATTATGAACCTCCACATTTACACCCGACCGCAACGATTCATTTTTTAACTAGAAAGATTATCAAAATATTAGCATTCCGTTTCGTATTAGACGCGGATCAGTGGCGTTATTTAGGGATAGATTCAGAAACAGTTGCAATTTAAGTTGTTTATTCGTGTCGATTTAAAATTTTTCATCGGAGTATTTAAATGCATAATAATTATCTTTTATGTGTACTATTTTTATCGAAAACTCTGATATTGTAAAAAAGACAGCCAATAACCGAGAATAAGTTTGTAATTGTTTTTACCAAAATCCACGTGCTAGAAAGTAAACGACAAAAACACCACGTCCTGATTTCCGGGCCGAAAGCGGCTAAGAGTTATTTATTTATAGTAACGATGTAACAATTTAAAGATGTGTCCAGTGTCGCTACTGTCGACTATTTTTCATAACAAATACATGACAAAATTAAAAATAAGACAAATATTGATTGTCTGTGGCGGCTTGCGGTTAGGCGTTCAACCCTCAAAAATTGTATTTAAATAGAATTTCTGGATGAGCCACTGTTGATTGTCACTTAATAATTAATTTGTTCGACGCTCAAGTGTTCACTTATCACAAAATGTAATTAACACACATTATTGATACGATTCCGATTTTTTACCGTTTTTATTTCATAATAATACGAATTTGTTTGTTTTTTTGCATGTGAGTAAAAAAAAAGTGTTCTTTTATTTTAATAATTTATGTACAATAAATTATTTTTAAACATATAATTACACATACATACACGTATGTATAAATGTGTTGTTTGTAGACGTTTACAGTCGGACCTCGCTGGTCTTATTTGTACTTAGGTTATAATACCGCTCAAAGTTCGAAGTATTATTAATGGGAGGCTTGAACTGGAAACTATAAAAATTAAGTAGTTTTACTTTAAATATTTTAATAATGCCCCCCGCCCCACTACCAACAAACGAAGAAAAATGACTTTGAAAAATTTAACTAGCTTAAATAGTCATTTTTATCGTCCGCTTCTTCTTCTAACATTCCTAGAAATAAAAAGCATTCTAAGCTCCTTATTTTCACGCACTAGTTTTTGCAAACTCATAATTTGTATTCTGATTTCTTTTATTATATGGTTACTCACCAAACTGCTATGGACACGATTTTATCAGACCAAGTTGACAATACTTACTTAATAATACGCTACCCATTTTGTTTAATTTTCTGAATATTTTGTCATACTCTATTCGTGTATTAACCAAAGTACCGTCTTAGGACTAGCATACTACCTCACGAGGCACTCTGTGTGGTCAACTCGATCTGTGGCTATTATTAAATATCTAGTCGATATTTAATAATCATTATAATCTAATTTAAAATATAAAATAACTAATAAATGATAATCAAAATAAGTAATTTTATAATAATTTTTAAATTTATTAAACCAAATATTCTGCATCAAGTAAAATGTAATATAAAATAAATTAATAAAATGACAGTATGACATTTATATTTTATAACTTACAGGCAAGTAATAGAATTTTCACATAAAGTATTAAACATTTGTACACAAATATGACATTTTCATTTCTATTTATTAAAATTTTCCCTTACAATATACACTCTAAGAACTTACAATAAATTTATGTGAAAATTCGGACATTTTTAGCTTCGATGTGAGGTTGAGAAGGTATTAATTTTACTATGTGTTTTTTTTTTTTTTTTGTCTGTTACCACTTTTACTCACCGGATCGATTTCTTTCAACGATATGCCAAAAGTTCACAAATCAAATTTAGTTGAAGAGACATTGCCCTTAAAAATTGAAAAAATTTCCCTCATTCTCCGTAAATGAGGAGTTCTACAAAAAAATTGACATTTTATAAATCAGTAATTTTTGACATTATTTTTAAACTACTAACTTATTCAAAAATTGACATATCAAAATAATTTTTTTTAAATCGAAACCTTAGGCGTTTCCCATTTATTTGATATCAGTCTCACCTTGTGAGAAAAAATTTCTTATTCATATTAAAATATTTTACTATATGGTTTTATTTTGTTTCTTTCGTTAATTTTTCTCAGCTCGCACTTAACTAATTTTAAGACCAATACGTTAAAATCGATTTTAATCATATTATAATATATTTAATATTGGAAAAAATCCTATAATCCTAGCAATTTAGACAAATATCTCAAAAATATGCTACTATAAAAAATAGTTACTTCAAAAAAACTTTTTTTAATTAAATATCTCCAAATTAATAAAATTTTGTTATTGTACTGAATTACACAATAAAATCATATCACTAAAATAAAATATTTTTTAATGGTCATAGACCAATATATATTTTACTAAAGTAAATTTTTCGATTTGACTTTAAGACTGAAATTAAATTTTTTCTATTGTCTCATTTTTAAGGTTATTACTAATTAGAAAACGAGTTTTTACAAACCAAAAAATTTAATACAAAACATTTTTAATCAAGTTATTAATAATTTTTAAAAATAATCCGTGCAATATTTCAATTCAAAATGTCATTTTTATGAAAGTTCATAATTTAAAAATGTTGAACTTTTAAACACTTTTTTAGCTCAACTTGCAAGTTTAAAATTTATATCATTAAATAGAAAATTTTATAATGAATAAAAAATTGCATTTTTTAAATTGGTATGTGATCAGGAACTTATATAATTACTATTAATTGTACTTAATGAACCTATGAAACAACTTTTGAAAAAATCCCAAAATTTGTTAAAATCACCAATTATATATTTTGTATTTATATTGTAATAAATCGTTTAATAGAAGTCTTAGTAATCATTTCTATATAACTCTTGGTATTTGAATAGACGGTACAATTGAAATATTCAGAACTATATCTTATAGTATTCTACAATATACTGATATTCAAAAATATTCCGTACCTAGCTTCGCCTATGATTTCATCCGTTGTGTTGTTTAATTTCGTTTTAATCTATATTTTTTGGTTATTTTTTTAAATGTTAATATTCGTTTTTAACTAATTATTAATATCAAAAATTAGTGGTGATGGAAAAAATCTAATTGCAGTTTTGAAATCAGCGTGAAAAACTGTTTAAGAAAAGTATATTTTTGTCTATGATGAAAATTCCTTTTATACCATTAATTCATAATTAACAATAAATTATTTTCTGAGTAGTTTTATATCATGTTTTACCAGTTTTATACAAGTTTCTCATAAAATAACTACTTTATAATTTTTTATAATTTATATATAAAAATTACAATACTATATTATTAAATATCAATTTCAATTTAGTAATAGACTTTTTTTTTCATATATTATACTTATAAATCATAGAACAACTAATTAGGAATAATGAAGGAAATAAGAGTTAATTTTGCTTTTGGAATAATCCACACATTTCTTAAAATTAAACACTATCTGCAGATTTGAATTGCAGCGTTTCTTATGATAGTGATTTTAATGTCACTGTCAGATGTCATCTATATTTGTCCCAACTATGTCACGTCCACACTGCGCCGCGACCCTACTGTATTTCCGTTTTTTTTTATAGTAACTTTAATTTTTCCAAAGTACAATTTCAACGTGCGTAATGACAATAGTAATTATATTTAAAATTATTAAAAATAATATGAAATTTTATAATATTATAAATTATATAGCTTTTTAGTATAGTTTACAATATATGTATATACTGCAAACTTTCAATGAAAGTTAAATGTAATATATATAAATATATATCCTATGATTAATTTGACAAGCTAAGCAAAACAGCTGCTGCTCTTTTAATCCAATGATTTGGTGGTTCTATTCCACTATTTAAATATAATCCAACAACAAAAGCATCTCTTCCTTGTATTCCACATCTACGTGGATAGTAATACACTGGGCATAAATAAAAACCTAGAAAATTCAGTAAAGTCGAGGTATTTATTTAAAATAATTATTTTTGGTGAACATTTTCATACTTTTCATTTTTCTCTTGACATTTTTAACCGGCTTGAATTGTATAACTGGTAATTTTGCAATTAATTGTAAAGGTTTAGGTTCACACAAACACGAATTCTTATGATCCCAATTAGCTCCTTCTAAATAAAGACTTCGTACATACACACCCTTCTAAAATAATAAAATGATTAGGTTGGATTATTTGACCACCGACACTATTAATCATAATCTATTTTACACTGGGAGGCATGACAATGTCCTTCTGAGGTATAGTGATTGGTATAAAATCCCATTGAAGTAAATCTATCGGTACCGATGAATTTCTTGATTCCATCTACAAAAAAGAAAAAGTATCGGTAACCAGATGTAAAGTAAAGTACGCGAATGTCAATTGAATATTAAATGTTATCTTACTTGTAAAACTGCAGTTAAAAAGCCTGTAGGAAAGGTATAAGCTCCCAACCAAAATAAAATTGGTTGACGAGCTGTGACAGCCCAGATAGTAAAGTGATTGATCCTCTCAATCAAATCCTGTGTCCAAGCTCCCAAGTTCATAAGTGAAGGATAGGCTAAAAAACAATTTCCATTAATAAATGTACATTTTTGCTTAATTAAAAAGTCTCTACCTTTGAGCCATTGACTTGGTACCCTACCCTCGTCTAGGCATTGAAAAACTTCCTCGAGGTCTGACGACATAACAACTAAACCTTGAATACTTTTTTTTAAATTTATCAATGATGATTTAATATTTTTCAACAAAGTGTTATAACGTAAAATCTGTAAAAGAACATTTTATTAATAATACTTTTTTTTTTTGGCAAAAGCATTTCCATGAAGAATTTTCTATTTAAAATGGTAACAATTAAATATTACTACTGAATTATATTTTAAAATACCCTTGAAAATGTTTTATTTTTTGTTAACACCTTTTGTTTATAATGTATAATACATATATATACAGAGTGGCCCACCACTCACTGACAACTTAAATAACTTTTGATCCAGTTAATATTTTTAGCTGATTTTTTTTTTAAATAATAGTTATACGTTAGGTCTATAGCTATATCTCAATAATTAATTTTTTTACATTTTATTAAAAATATTAATTATTTTTAAATTTTAAATAAAATGTAAAAAAAAAATCTAAGATAGCTATTTTGTAGAGTAGAATTTAAGAAAAATTTTAGTAAAAAAATATCTTATTAATATTCAGTAGTAAATATTCTGTAGCGTTTTGAAGTTTGTGAAAATTTGAATTTTCATGTACTATTTTACGGTATTAAACATTGAAATACGTATTGAGAAAAGGACAGAAGAAAACGCTATCTTTTCATGATTACTGTGTATACATATGATGATAGTGTGTATACATTACAAACTTGGCATAAATACCATGATAAGAAATTAGATAAGGCAATTATTACTTATCACTCTCATTCAAAAGTATATTGAAAAGATAGCGTTTTCTTCTGTCCTTTTCTCAATACGTATTTCAATGTTTAATACCGTAAAATAGTACATGAAAATTCAAATTTTCACAAACTTCAAAACGCTACAGAATATTTACTACTGAATATTAATAAGATATTTTTTTACTAAAATTTTTCTTAAATTCTACTCTACAAAATAGCTATCTTAGATTTTTTTTTTACATTTTATTTAAAATTTAAAAATAATTAATATTTTTAATAAAATGTAAAAAAATTAATTATTGAGATATAGCTATAGACCTAACGTATAACTATTATTTAAAAAAAAAATCAGCTAAAAATATTAACTGGATCAAAAGTTATTTAAGTTGTCAGTGAGTGGTGGGCCACCCTGTATATATATATATATTACTAACAAAATATCTTATTCATTGTTTATTATTTTTATATAACTACTAAAATTATTATTTCATTGTGTCATTATCATGCATTCGATGGACTTATTATAATTTTTACTTCGACATTAATTATCACTATGATTACGAAACACTTATCGACTTAACTAGTTATTTGCTCAGATGCTCTTGGTCTAAGGCTAGGTGGAACCTCGCGAAAAAAAATTGTGACTTGAATTAATAAAATATTCAAAAAGTCATACTGGAATAAAATATCCATCTTGCATATATGCAGTAATTAACGCATATATGCTATTTATAAGGAACTATTAAAAATAATTTTAAATTACTTCCAGTCGTTTGTATTGAACAATAATGGTAAAATATGTATTGATATTATTTATTAGTTCTAAAATTTAAAATAAAAATGAATTACCTCTTGAAGTAATACCACATCTAGAGGACTTCTATTAACTCCAATATTTCTTACTGTTGTATCATAGTCAATAATATCTGGTACTTTCTGTAAAATTTTAGATAAAAGCATAAATACTTTTTCTTCTTTGTGTTCTTCGACTACACCTGATGATTGTCCTTGCAATGATATAAGAGTTTCACATAAATTATAATTTTCTCCCATTAGAGATGCCATATCTGAGTTAGGGTGTTGCCCAAAAGCTTGTGGACTATCTACAATTGGCAAAGTCATAATGAATTCTCTATATGATTGTAGATTACCATCACGTGGAATATAGTACATTAATAATGAAGACAACCTAAATCATTAAACATTAACATTAACAAAAAATCTTTAAATAAATATGCAGTGATGGGAAAGAACGCATTCATGCAAAAACGCTAATATGGACATGTTTATTTTATATGAACTATACACGATAACGTTCAAATTTTAAAAAATGAACTTAAACGTTTTTAGTTCGTTTATTGCAAAGTTCATTATTCTGGATTCTACTATTTGAGTTTATATAAATATTAATGTATAGAATTTAAACTAAACAATTAATTTTATTTATTTTTTAAGAAATAATATATCATAGTATGGTAATGATATTTTTTTAAATTTTAATAAGATAAAAATTCATTCGTAAGGATTTATTTATTTTAAAAAAATGGATTTATAAGTAAATCAAATTTTTACAATACAAATTTGAATGAAATTATTTTATATAAGGACGTGAATTTAAAAAGAATGTAAATCAAGTTAATATTTTATGAATCATAAATCAGTTCATATTTTATTTAAGGAAATTAAGCTTAAACTAGTTCACTCTTAAGAAAATTATTCCTATCACTGTAAATATCTTAATAGTAAAGTACTTACAGGTTTTAATTCTTAAAATTTATATTTAAAGAAACAATTCTTATTTTACCTATAATATGGTATAGAAATGGCGTCTTCATTAAAATATTGAGCAATATATGTATTTAAGAGTCGTCTATCCCAATCATCGGTCACATGACCACCATAACAAATTCCTGCAATTAAGTATTTTAAAGCATCCCAAGGTGTTTCATTATATTCATCCAAATATATTGATAGTAAATTTTCAGACACCTTTACAGTAAGTTTAAGATTTATTCTAGTGATTTTATATGTCTTAATTAGACTATATTTGTATTCTATTGCAAAAGGAAAAATGTATAATGCTGAACATTTGAAACATATTTCACAAATTGTGAAATTGTAAAATTTATAAATATTAAAAAATTATTCTACATTTAACTACATTTACATTTAATTTTTATTTAAAAATTAATTAAGAAATTAATCGTAACTTCTATAAAAGTATGAAATTACAAAGGAATAATTTTGACATGATGTAATATGTTTGCTAGTTATAAATTAAAGCATAATATAATTAAATTAAAGAAAAACTGAATTCATGAAGCTCTAACATTATTATGCTTAAAATAATACTAATTGGTATGTATAGTTAAAGATTACTAAAAACAACTAAATATATTTTATTAACTTCGAAATCAGAGTCGTTGAAACTGTAAACCACGTTCCAACCAAGCATTTGAAACTTTTTCCTCTCTACTAGAACAGAATGAAAGAAACACAACGCAAACAATAACTTTTTGTATTTATCCTGCGCTTTACATTTAGAAAAATTATCTTCGTTAATATTTTGGTATAACCGTGTCATATTTGCTTTTAAACCCTAGTTTAATCAATAACACATATTTTGTTTAATAAGACAATATTTAAAAAATAAATATTTGATCATATTCATTTTACTTTTGGAGGTTCAGTAGTCATTTTAATAGCACTCTGTAATATGGCAATGGGGAAATCTGGATGTGGACTAGAGCTTAACCATAACCTAAAGTTTGGATGACTTTTTCCATCTTGCATTATATCAATTATTTTATCTAAATGTGACATCCACGAAAGGGATAGATGACAATTAGCCAGGAACACCCAATGCCCTTCTCGTTGACCAATGTCAATCAATCTGAATGAAAATTTTAGATTTAGTTATTATTCAATTTTACAAATATTGTTTATAATTACGCTGTTGCTATAGGTGCCTGCCCTTGACCTAATGAAAGCGTATGAAATTTATCTTTCATATTACAGTTGGTTGCGAGACTAATTAACATATTTGTAGGATCAACTCCAGGAGACAATACAAAAATTAATGGAGTTTTGTTGCTTGAATCTTCCAATACACTTTTAACATCCATTACTGGGGGTTCAACAAATTTTGGTCCCAAATTTTCAACGATAAATTTTGATATTGAAAATGATAATCTGTCAATTCTTAAACATCTTATGAACAACATTTGTTGAAATGAATTGCATATATCTTTCCATTGACCTAAATAATTACTACTATAAAAAATCATTATATTTTAAAAAATTAACGGTCTATTTACCAACTAATGTTAATGTTTCAGGCTCAGGGGACATGTACCATTCTTTCCATTCACGTGAAAATTGTTCAAAAGATTTTGCTATACCATGAAAACCTGGCATTTTGTCTAGTTCTGTTATATTATCCCAATTAGTTAACGGCAGCCATGCTATAAAGCAAAAAATTAAAATTAGATGTTTTATTATAATTAACATATAAAAATTAAGTTAATAAAACATTACAGAAAGGTTGTGGTATACAGGGTGATCCATTTAACATTGACCAGCAAATATCTCAAAAACTATTTATTATTTTAATAATTTTTTTAGCTTCGATGCGAAGCTGAGAAGGTATTGGTTTTACTAAGATGT